TGGAAGCGGAGCCTTGTCGCCATGAAAAAAGTCTCTGCTGCTAACCATCTCCAGGGCCGTAGCCGGCGGCGAGAGGCTGGTGGCGTCACTCTGATGCTCCGCGGCCCACGGGCTCCTCAGAGAACTCGCATTGCTGAGATTGAAAAAGTTCACGGATCCTGGAGTCTGCTGAAACTGGTGGTGATCGTGGCTGTAGTGCGGCGGCGGTGGCAGTGGCGGCGGTGGTGACAATTCAATTCTCTGATCTTCAAAGTTTCCCGCCTGTGGCATTTGTTGTTGCTGTTGCTGGAACTCGAAAGCAGCGAGGTGCAACGATGGCAGGCTGCTGTGAACGGCACCGAAGTTGTACATGCTGCCGCCACACTGCTGCTGGTGCTGGTGCTGCTGGTGCGGCTCCGGAAACGGGAACAAGCTGCAGCTGCTACTGCTGGTGGAGAAACAGTGATCGAGAGTGCCGCTGCTCAAGCCGCCAAAACCGATGATGTTGTTGTGGCTAGACGCAGCGGCAGCTCCTCCCGTGAACAAAGGGAGTGCCGCGGTTGTGGCGGAAGAGCCGTGGATGTCGTTGAGATCCAGAGCCGGGCCGCTGCCGATGAAATCCTCGAGCTTGGTGGCCGAGGTTGAGGTGGAAGTGGTGGTCGTGGGGCCTGGGATGAACATCTGGGCCATGTCGTAGTGTACATTTCCAGCGGCGGCGGGGGGGCCCCCGCCGAGAAGGGAGAGAGCAGAGTTATAGCAGTTGCTGCTGCTGCTTGTGCTTGATCCTGGAGAAACAACACCAAAACGCACATTAGAAACGAGGAACAGGATAAAAACCATAGCAGCAACCGGATAGAACTAAAATTCCCTCAGGTTGGAAGAACAAAATGTACAAGCAAGCACTCGCGCGCAAAGGCGAAGTTAAAAGAGAGATGATTCATTCCCGGATACATTATCCTTGTGGAAATGCAACTTGCCTTCGTTCCTGTGCTGCAGCTGCAACACTCCGAAACCGTGAGGAGATGGAAGCAGCATCATCTGCTGGGAGAAGCTGGGAGCGCAAGTGATCTGGTGATTATGATGCTGCTGCATCCAAACGCCCCAGAAACTTCAGATGGAACTTTATCTACAGCTTCCTTTCTTTTCCTTGGAAGCTCTAACTCTTTAGAACTTGGGATCCAGCGAGGAGGAGATATATAGAGCGCAATTGGAAAAATATTATAAGCCTTAAGACGGTATGGAATTTCTTATAACACGACCAGGATCTAACAAGGCAACAATGAGCGAAAGCGAGAGCTGGGAAAGACAGACGTATTTTCAGAGAAGGGCTGCTGCTAACGATCTCAAGAACAAAAAACACACCGCACACAGAGGCTGCCCGGACTGCCCGAGCTGCCCGTGCTGCCCAAGTGGGGTCTGCCCGGCCGGGAAACCGGAGCTCCGGCACCGGAAGGTGACGTGAGCGGTGGGGTCTGCCGGTCGGGGGATTGTGGCCCGCCCCACCTGGCCCAATACGTAGCTCCTACTGTATTCATCAAATAATGCCGCACTCATGATACATTGCATTGAAACATTTGATCATCCAGCAACATGACAAAAGGAGTTTAGGGTTCTTGAGAGACAAGCACGCCACCTTTCGGATGAATATTGCCAAAAGCACGCACTAATTGACTCGGCTTTGGCTCGCTTTGGATTATGAAAATGGTTGTTTTGCTACCTGTAAGAGGGATTGTCGGCCCTAGAGGCTCTCTTTCTTGTTTTATACAAGAAGCACCGAGAGGGATTCAAGAATCGCAAGCCACACTCTTTGCACGTGAATGTAATTACGTGCCATCCCATGTTTTCAAAGGTGATAATCTAAAGAAGCTCATGTCCTTGTTCTTGCCCTGTTGCAATAGCTGACTCGCTGATTATAACAATTCTTCCTTGCCTGCCAAGTTTCTACTGCTGCTGTTCCTGCTGCTGCTTGAAAGTGAAATTAAGACGACGAGGGTGGTCATTGAACAATATGCCAATCCAGCAACAAAATCTAACGCGCCCGCGGATTGCAAAATTTCTTCTAGATCGGATCTGGCCACCCGGCAATCCGCATATACACCTTTGATCCATCGGGACTTCCAAGGAGAACAGCCTTTTGGATGATGTCAAGAACTTTGAGTGCAGCGAGGATCCCGTCTCACGTTAAAATTCTATTTACCAAGTGTTGCATGCATGTTCTTATATGAATGTTCTTAAGTTAACAACCAGGCCAGGCCATAATTTATGACTGCATGTAGGGCTCATGGCGGACAGAATTCCCGAGCTGATTAATCGAGGGCGGTGAAGAATAATATGTTTGAATTCAATAACAGGACATGGCACATCAAAGCTTGCCGTTCCGGCAACAGCATGAGCCTCAAGAAAGATTTTTATTGTCAAAGCATTCCAAAGCTGTTTTTTCTAACCTTATTACGGCATATGTGAGTCGTGGGCGATTGGAATTTTGTGTATATCATTCACCAATTATATACAAAATCCATTATTCTGTTGTTTTGTTGTTCTTGTTGCCACTGCGGCTATAGTTTCTGATTAGTTTTTGTTTAATCAAACAAACAAATACCAGACCGAGAGGGTTTTTCGACACGGTGGTCGACGCGAGTTCATTTGCTGAACATTAAATTCCAAGAAAACTGCTTTCTAGAAACCAATCCGAAAGTTCTCTCACACCAGCTTTTGCAATAGTGTAAACAAAGTGAGCTTGAAAGACCAGTCAAAGAGGATCGCTTGTGAATCATGGCATTAGGGAGCCATCCATCATTCACGTGAAATCCAAATAAGAAATTATGATATCCACATTGAATACAATATACACACCCACACTCGATCCTAGCAAGCAAGTTGTGAAAGATTAAAATATAACCTTGATCAATCAAAATCATTATCAACCTTGATCGCTCACCACCGAGTTTGCGCACAACATTGTACGTGATCTGTTCTGCTGCCTGCATGAGCCGAAGCTCTTCTATCTAGTCTGAGAAGTGGTCGGGGAAGTGTCCATCATTACCTCTAATTCTCATGACTCTCCATAGACTGGAGCCTGAAATTGTGACCACACTCCTCCCAAAGATTCTAGCGAGATTAATATTTTAGCTTTGAGTTCAACGCAGGAAGGCGGAAGGAGAAGGTGGTCCATGGGGAAAAAGGCAAAGTTATATGAAAGTACCTTGAAATCCCGGGCAATTGGATTTGGATCCAGCAACTCGAGAGTACTTGGGTGTGTTTCCAGGGGGGAAAGAAGTAAAGGGGCAGTATACAAATTCATTGATTCTCCTAAAGTATGGTGTATAGACTTGAAAGTGGCACAACTCAAACACAAACACCCAAGTGCATGATACTTCCATTCCATCAAAAGCCTGAGGTGAGATGTAACACGAGGCTCTGCCCAAGAACTCGGCAAAACAGGCCCCCACATTGCGATCTAGCGATTCACCAGCGAGTACAAAAGGTACAGGTCTTTATAGGCTGGAAGGGCCGGGTGATGCATTTTTAGAGCCTTCTTTCCAAGTTCTTTGAATCGATCGATGGATGGATCGATCTAGCTCTGGTTGCAGACGTACTCGCATCAACAATGAATCCACATGTTGGGACAATGGCGAAGTACAAACGTCACCCACATTTTTATAGAAGTTTACAGTAGCACGCCCCCGCTTTTTTGCATGGAAATGGTTTGTTTTCTAGGGCAAACTGACAAGCTAGAGTTACTTTAGCGTCACCTTTTACCAGCTCCCAGATTTACTTTCGCCGGCAAGTGCAACCGTCAAGGGCCGTCAGCCCGTCAGTCAAGTACGCTTGTACGGCATATGAGCATGTGCCAAGTATCTACCGCGCGCTAGATTTCCGGGATACTCTGCCACGTCTGACTCCCGTCAGCTCGCCGGGGGAAGCCGCGTCGTCACAGTACGAACTAGCCCGGCACGCGCTGCCGTACGGACCACATCTATCTAACTACGCTCGCCACCTTTTTGTTACGTTGGTTTCTAGAATTTCTTGGGTCTTCGGTCGCTGGCTCGAGACGGATTGGGTTTCATGGATTCACACGCGAAACAAAACTAGCTTTGTGTCTTTTGGTTTTGAAAGTTAAGAAAATGGTTTTGTGTTGAAACCAGGCACCCGTGGGACAAGAAAAGCTGGATGGTGATTTGTTTAATCACTTGCATAGACGGATCTGTCGTGGCCATGCTCGACACAAAGATGGTGCTATGTGCCCCGAGTTTTAATTCGCAGTCAAAGCATCCCAAATCCATGGATTTGCTCGATGCACCGCTACTGCTGGTGCTGGCGGTTGGATTGTCCCAATTGATCCAACAGTTTATATGGTATAAGGAAACCAGCTTTGAAGCCTTCAAAGACGAAGACGAGCGCTCTCTCTCGCTGGGATCAACACTTTGTCCCTGTTTGTTTCTTGTCCAGCATTGTCCGAGCGAACTAGATTGAGAAAGGAAGAACCTCTTCTCTCTAATCCTATTCTCAAGAATAGTTAAATGTTTGTTTTCTTCCCAGTGTCCCCATCCAAACTATAGATCCTGACTTGACGCAAGTGCTCCCTGTTTCTTCACATATCATTTTCCATCATCAAAATGACACTGCTCCAAGAATCCCTTACCTCTTTGGTGAGAAGAAAAGTAATAAAAACCATTTTAACTTCCATGCTCTTCCGAGACATGCATAGAGATTGGATGTGAAAGTGGGACTCAAAGCAGCGTTGATCCAATTCAATGCCAGTCCAATCCACCAAAATCTAATTCAATGCCATCGCATCGCTGTGAGCTCAAAGTTTATTTGCATTCCTCCCCTTGTCTTATCGCCACGCTGAATGATTGAGCGTGAAAAGGAAGGCGAGCTTTCTAGAGTGTGCGAATATCCCCAGTGACTTGAATCGAATATCCCGGTCACACGACAGCTTTTGTTGACCAACGAACTTTTCCAGTCAGAGGGAAAAGCCACATCATGCAACCACGTCTCCTGTACGAGCGCGATACGGAGAAAATCCGGAGGAAATCCTGACTTTTCTTAAGAAAGTAGTGTATCCTGCGAGAATGGCTAGAAGATTTTGGTCTCTCTCGTATGATCCTAGCTCTCAGTGTGGAAGAATTCCAGCTATGGATCCTTTGCCCGAGGTAGAGCTCAGCCATCATCAATGCGTTCCAATGCGACACTATCTCAATCTGGCAACTCATGTTTTTGCTGCGATGCGTGACCATCTTGAGCGTTTTCTAAATCAAGACCGCTTACCCCGTTCACTCCATCCCAAGTTACGGTCCAGCGTAACAATGGTTTTAAGGTTCCTGGTTTATACCTGCTTGAGAAGGAATGCATGAGATCGAAAGAAGCACTTTTCATTCTCTGAAAGAAAAAAGGAATTGGAAGAGCAGCTCTACCTCCCAAAACTTTGAAGAGCTTGTTGCTCTGTGGGCTACTTTTCAAACATAAAAGGCATTTCTCTTGGAGCCATAAAAGCATCCACCATCTGCATTATAACAATCCTCATCACTTAGTAACCATGGTGTTCTATTTCACGTTCCAAACCTCTTCTGTGACGGCTAAACGAGCCTGCTGATGCTGCTCAACCATCTTCCACAGAACATCGCTCAGTATGTTTTTTATCTCTCCAGTGAGCATTCTTCCCGACCCATACTCCTGTAAAAACTGAACATGTTAGTAAAATTGAAAAAACAAAGAGATTACTTGCGTCTCTTATTCTCTCGAGCTCCTCGTCGTCGTCCAGGAAGAACGTCAAGTATTTGAATGGTATATCGACCTGTAACATAAATTTAAAAAAGAATATAAGACCGATCGAGAACGCGGGAACACCACACTTTAAGATTGGCACCGTTCTTTCGTTGTAGCTCCTTCGTATCTCCGCCTCCAGATAATGCATAATTCGCGATCTATGAAGCATGTCAGACCCGTAAGACTCTAACGCTGCTCGTACCTTTTTCTTGATCTCTTTTTGGGTATCCTTCACGTAAATTGCAGAGTTCGTATCACTAGCAGACATTTTGCCACTCTCTCCCTGAAATGTGGAACGCCTTAGTGCTATAAGTTTTAAAAAGAAGCACTCACCTGTAATGCGGGGAAAAACCTCGACTCAATCAAGGCAGGCTTTTGGTAGCCTAGTCTTGGAGCAACATCGCGAGTCATTCGAAAGTATGGGTCCTGTATCGGTAAGAAAAACCTTAGTTACTAGTGGAATAGTAAAGAGCTTACCTGATCAATCGCGCAAGGTATGAGGCATTTGATCTTGCTTTTGGTCCCAAATAGATGAGGAAAGGAGGTTGGAAAAGACGGAGCTGCCTGTACAGATGTACGATTTAGGCGGAGAGGAGACGCGAGCAGACTAAGTACCTGAACAGCTGGGAAGAAAATCTTGCCAATATGAGACTCGCCATCAAAACCAAAAATGCCCTTCACCTGAATCATCAAGTTCCTACTGAGTAAAATTTAAATAGCGACAAACTGGACTCGGACCTGATTGAAGGTCACACTCTTGGCGATGCTAATCATGTTTTCATAGAATCCACTGGAAAAACACCATGCTGATTCAATCCGAGAAACTAGAACGAAGCAACATGACTTACCGACCGACATATTGGAAATCACTGAAAATGAATGTCCGGCTTATGTCAAAGCCGCAGGCTATGATGTCTTTGGCATTTTCCCGTGCAAGTCTCTTGGTCTCCTCCACGCTCAGATTCTTCCACATACACTTCTCATCGTCTGTGAGCTGTATGACAAGCGGAACCTTGAAAGCATCCTGCAAATATCTACAGAAGAAAGCGATGGAAAAAAAAATAAAAAATGCCGACACCTACTTTGTGAACATGAATGGTATCAAATGGCCGAGATGAAGAGCTTCTGACGATGGCCCTCGTCCAGTATAGAGGTAAAACTTCTCTCCCTTCTCGTAAGAATCGAGGACTTTCTCAAAGTCTCTGGGAGCAGAAGAAAAATGCTCTCTGTCCAACTCTTCAATCTAGACGACGTACCTGTGAGCAAAGAAGACGCCGCGACGAAGAAACGTGTGTGCTCTTTTGCCAGTGAGCTTGACGACCCTGTCAATGAGGCGCTGCTCCAGCTTCTCGCATCCAAATTGCGAGATGAGCTTGTCATAATCGATAGCTCCGCTGCCCGACACCTCCCACGGCGTCACCACTTGCTCCTGCGCCATCTCCTTCTCCAAGGCCCTGCAAGCGAGCTGCCTAGCCCTAATCCTCCACATCTAGGGTTTATCACATTTTAAATCTGAGGAGTTCAAAAGATCAATTTCTGGCTTTGGGGGGAGATCAACAAACTTTTAAGCCTGCCAACATTGCTTGTGAACATATTAGCTTGCCAAACGTTTCTCAGGGCCAGTGAGCGGCATGGAAAGGAAGAGATCAGAGAGCCAAGGATCTTCAATTCCACTCCCGGCGACGCTCATATGAGACTCCAAGCGTCAATAGCACTGCCACAACACGTAAGCACGCTATGGAAAAAGAGGTCATGGCACAACCACCAATCTAGAGACAATATACTCATGAATAAAGGACTCAGTAGAGTTTGATCAACTCAGGAACTCACAGGATAAAAGCGTAGCCCAACTTTCCAGGCTACTATACAGCATTCTCCTTCGACATACTCGCTCTGGTAGGTATATTTCCCAAAAGGACAAACCAAAAACCTATAGGACTGATAGTTTCTCCTGCAGCCGATCATCACCCGAGATAAGTCTTCACTGAGTTTTACAAAACTGTGCATTCATATGGATGGATCAACCTAAATTATAACTCTATAACTCTATGGAAACCAAATGACAATCTTACTGGTTTGCAACGCTGTGTCGCCCTTGAGGACGGCCAAGGTAGCAGTGGAGAAGGCCAGGGTGGCACTAAAGAAGACATCTGGAGCTTGGTTGATTGCCCCTCTATGACAGTGCTGCTGGCACTAGCAAGTGTTGTTTGTGAGAACTTCCAACCTCGAGCCTCCAACATGTCGTGGTACAGAGGCAAGAGATGACTGCCAATGTCCTAAATGCTAAGCTTCCTCCGTGCATCTTGCTTGTTGGGATATTTTTGCCACTTTGTGCTGACTCCATTGTCACAAAAAACCCTAGCTCAGGTCCACACAAACCCTCTCAATAAAGTACCACATGGAAATCCCAAAAATTCCACCACAGCTCTATGTCAATCCAACCCACCATCTGTGCAACCAAGTGAAACAAGAGTGGTACAATGTTGATACAGCCTTGTGGTAGCAAATCCTTGCCAATAGTTCCAAAATCCCCCAAAAGTCCCCTCATATCCATCTATGGGATTGTGCCAAAAGAAACCTCCCAAACTATCCAATAAAGGATGTGAGTTCACCATCTTTGGGTCCTGACACTAATGTATAGCCCTATCTCCTATCAAAACCCTAGCCACCATCACGATTAGAATTCAAATCCTAGATATGATTTTGGAAAAGCCAATTAACGAAAAGAATGTAGCATCTTCAAAATTCAATGAAGGACTTTAGGATAAGGCTCACTTCCCTAAGGCATAAAATATTGGCTCTAGTTTCACAAAGGAGTCACCTGGGAGGCAAATGAATATAAGTAATGCTAAGCCTTTTGTGTTTGAGCTTGAGTGTTTCACATTTACTTATTTAGTCCTTATGTGATACTGAAGAATGTAGATGCTTTCAAAACAATGATACCAAGAAAAATACTCACTTAATATTAGTTATTAGGAATGTGTCTATATCTTTATATAATTGATGAAAAAATTATCAATCTAGGGCTTTTATATCAGAAACTTAATAATGTAGATGTATTTTTCTAATTATTATTGTTATTATTTCTATTATAGGCTTATATAAGTATAAAACTTAGTAGAGATATTATTTTAAGATTTTATTATTGCAAATAAAGAAAAATGTATTAAAAAAAGTAATATATAGATAGATAGATAGAATTATATAAATGGAATATCTAGAAACCTTGGAGAAAAAAATGGAAAAACCAATTGGTATGGGATGTGCTTATGAATAATCATATAACGTATGAGCTTTAGAAAACTATTTGGATAATAACCTAGAATAATGTATCAGTGAACTATAAACTGTGATTATTTGAGCTATAAAAAATTATGTGAAAAAACCATAGGAAAGAATGTGTTATTGCTTCAGAGTTAAAAAAAATCCATATATAAATCTATACATAATGCTGAAATTATATATAAAAATGATAGAAAAATTTGCCATATGGATAACTATACACTAATTTGAATTTAACACACATATAAAATCCAAAAACCACATCATTTAGTTTGTTATGTTCCTTGGCAAGAGCATAATCTCTAAATGCTCTTATTTGATAAGGCCCTTGCAATGCAGCTTGTGACATTCTTGCTAGAAATAAAACAACTTCAAGCATATGAACTGGCTTAAGAAGTTCTTTGTGAGGGAGAGTGAAAGTGAGCTAAGTTCCTCTAGGCAGACCTTAAGAACATTTAATATATTTAAAACTATTAAAGCAAAGTTGAAGCATATTGGTTAAATCACTAAAACAAGGTGAAAACCTGAAATGAAGTCAACTGTTGTGGAAAAACCTCTATCCTGTGTCTTCAAACCCACTTTTCGAGGGTGTGATCCCTATGTATGGACTAATCTAGACTGTTATAACAGTGATTATAGTTGTTAACAATTAAAATGTATTTTTGGTTTGTGGATATATTTAGAATATGCTTGTCATTCATTTAGATTAATCTTATATTTATAATTTATAAACATGTTTATAATTTATAAACTTTTTTAAACCCTTTCTAGTATATTCATTTTAATTCTATCATCTAATGGTTGATATGCAATAAGATTAATCTTGTGTTTATAAATTGCAAACATGCTTAGAATTATAAACTTTATTTGATCAATTAGATTAATAAGTAAGAATAACACAATTATTAAACAAAAGAAGCATTGCTATATGCAACATGTAGCAATGTATTATTACTTTCCCTATTATTTTGATATAAGAAGTATGATATTCCTTACTTGATCACTCTAATTTAATGCTCTTGGTTGGTATTCTGTTTTGATGCAATATGAATTTATGTGAGTGGTATATAATTATGTGTTTTAATTTTTTCTATTTTACTTAAATTTATTAATTCATAAAATATATATTTAACAAATTAAAAATAATCTAGTAAATAAAGAAGATAAAAAATTATTAATTGGATGGTTTTTAACTATATTGGTTTAAATATGATTTTTGGTTTTCTTAAGTAAACCTATAAGGACCCACATGGATTGCAGTTTTTGATCTTTTAACTGTTTTAGATCAATGATCTATAAAGTCAACCATTATTAAAAAATTATTAAAATTACCTATAATAGTAAGAAAATCTAGAACTTTAAATATAAACATTTTCATTAAATTAATAGTGAATCAATTTTATAAATTTTGAGATTCTATAAGTACTTTTTTTTGATACTATGATGTAGATTAAAGACTGTAATTTCATGATCTACAACTGTTAAAAGATCAACTGCAATATTAAGGGGATTGGGGTAGTAGTGGATATACCTAGAATATGCTTGAATTTCTAGAATATTCTACCATTGTTATTTATTTAGATTAATCTTGTATTTCTAAATTATAAATATGTTTATAATTTGTAAAATTTCCTAAAAATTTCCTGATATATTCTATTTTAATTTATTAGCTAACCTTTTTATTAATTATAAACTTCTATTTGATCCTTTGGACTAATAAATAGGAAAAATATGGCAATGTTATATTATAGAAACAAAATAATACAGGTAGATACAAATCCTAGTACATGACTAAATAAATAAAAATATAAAACAAGTACTGTGACTGCCCTCACAGTGCATTATAAAAATCTTTACTCAACATACAAAAAGTATATGCTACATATGTATATATGTATGTGTATATATATAATTGGAGGGCTCTCCTACACATGAGTGTACTCCCATGATTTTATTCATGGCATATTCTTATCAATGATATATATTTTGGTTTCAATAATCTAAATTCAAGAGAGTTTATTCTTTTTTCCCAATGTATAATTTTTTAGTATTAAATATTATTATTTATATATAATTTAATTTAGAAATTTATTATTATATAAAATGTTTATATTTTATTCAAAAACATTAAATTTATTGTGTAATAATTACAAAAACACTCTACACAATTAAATGCTAAAACAATACTAGAGAAAATTTACCCTGAATAAACAAAAATATTCTCTAACAGTTAGTTCTTTAATGTGGGATTCTATTAGTTCTTTTCTTTGAAAAAAACTACTGATCATTTTTAAGAGTTGACAATTTGCTAGGTTGTGGTATGTTAGTGCTCACATTATAAATGGGGTATATCTAAAAGGAACTAATCCATTAGTCCCTTTATATGTTTGCTTTAAGTATAATAAAATTTTCTTTATGGGCCAAAATCTAATTGAATTTTGTTCAAAGATGATTTAGTTTAAGAGTAAATTCTTTCTCATCATTTTTAGCTTGGTACTAATAATATAATAAAGTTGAAAAATTCTTACCTCCACATTTACTTTCACATAGTTGTCATTAGTATGCACTTCAAGCTTTATAAATTTGCTGAATACTCTCTTGACACCTCAAACACTCTTTAAAAAGGCTCAGGAGAATGCATTTGGAGAAAAGACTTCCCCCAATTTTTAATATTTAGTAAATTCCTTAGGAAATCTATATTTGGTATGGGTTTTATGACTTTAACTATTTCTAGAACTTGGAAGATAACTTTTTCAATAAATAAACAATATGACTACCTTGCAGGTAAGCCTTTTACATAATTTGGTTACAACTATAAAAATAGCTATAGAAACTCAAGAAAAAATCAAGTATGGACAAATTTACAAAAGATATTGTGACCACAAAAGAGCATAAATATATTATTGATACAAAAACAACCACAAACCAATCAAATTGTGCTAATGTGAAGCTCAATCATTTAATTAAGGAATGCTAGTTTATACGAATCTACCAATTTATAATAAAAATAAATTCTAAAGAGATTGTATACTGCATTATCCAATCTAAACCAAACATTAGATTTAAGAACACAAGAGTGTGAGCAGTCAACTATTGTCTTCCCTCAGTAGCAGTCTTCATGCTGGAATTTTCAATCAGAACCTCGAAAAACATCAGTTCACAATAGACCATGATCACGCAACGCAGTGTGAAGGCATTGGTTATACCTGGCTCGGATCGGCTGGGGCGTCTAAAGGGAGGATTCGAAGGTGGCGGAACATCCTCTTCTTCCTTGTCCTGGAAAGTTAGCTCCGCCCTGTCGAAAAAATCCTCGTCCATGGTCAAGTGCTGGGGATCGCGAAACTCGGGTGGCAGCGGCCTCGGCATCGCCGACGAAGTTCTCGGGATGGGCGTGATGCTCACCCCGATGAAATGCGTCACTTGCAACACTCTCAACACTTCCGGCTTGGATGATCCTCCGCTGGCGCTCGGGCCGATCTTGACGGCGAGAACATCCACCCGGGATCGATCGGCGAGTCTCACCTTGCTCTCGAAATCACACCCCGCGGGGCCGTGGACGTGGATCGTGTGCCGGAACAAAAACCCATACTTGTGCCTCAAATCCGGGAGGAGCTCCGCTCGAGCTTGCAACGAGCACGCTCCACACACCCGAGGCTTCGTGCTCTTGAAAACACCGGTTGTGTCGTTCACGATCCTCGTCTCAAACTTATACAAGCTCCTCACTTGCATGCAAAAGTCCACCTTGCTGCTCAAATCGCCAAACCTGGTGATCCTTCCCTCCAGATCGCGGCCTTGCAAGATCTCATCGTCCTCGCCATCCCTCTCTTTCTCCACCGACACCACCGAGCAAAGCTTGTTGGCATCGCCGCCATCGCCGTTTGGGTCCGGCTCGCTGTAGCAAACCACCGTGAACTTGTGCTGCTTGGAGAAGATCAAGGGCGGCAGCGCTACGTCCTTGCTGCTGCTGATGGAAATGTTCGTGGAGCCGCGGCAAATCTCGTCGGGTGGCGCGAGCGGCCACGACTGGCCTCGGACCTCCTGGGCGCCCGCGAGCTTGCGAGGAACATCGGGTACCTGGGTGAAATGCAAGAAATCCGCGTAGGGGGCGATCACCGGGTCGCTGGGTCCCGGTGGATCGAGCCGGAGAGGCGCTGGGAGGAGCCCGGGGGCGATTTGCACCGAGAACTCGTCCTCTTCGTCCTCGCCCTCGGACTCGTGCTCCTCCGCGGGCTCGCTTCGTGACACCACCGGCCTCGGCAGCAATGCCTTCTTCTTGGGCATTGCTGGAATCCTGTGCGATTTATCGATCTCTCACCCGCGCCAAGGAGATCGATCCAGTGCGACTGATCTACCGATCCACCAGCGCGCATAGGCCGAACGAACGATCGAGAATGGTCCAGGGAAACAGAGAGATCGTCGAAAGGGCGTCATTCGAATTTCCAAAGCCCTAATAAACCGCGAAGAAGCCAATGACGTGGAGAGCTCACGCAGAAAATCCGACCGGCGTGGCAGGCAATCTCACCCTACACCTCAGCACACATTCCGGACAACGCCACGTAAGGCGCGGAGTCGCGTGGCAAGATCTCCGCCATTGCTTTTGCCGCCTGGGCCCCTCGATCGACGTCGCTGCTCGTTCTACACGATCCAACGAGGGCTCCCAAGGAGCTCGCATTGGGGAGATAGGGCATGCTTTTGACGAGCTCCTCGGCGTCCTTGACCCGGCCCGCCCGCCCTAGCGCGTCCGCCATAGCCGAGCAGTGATCCATCGAGGGCTCTAGGGAGTAATCCGCGATCATCGACACAAAGTAGTGCCAGGCCTCGTCCACAGAGCCAATGTGGCTACATGCCGCCAGGATCGTCTTGAAGAAGAGCTCGTCCGGCTTGATCCCATCCTGATTCATCGCGCAATAGAGATTCCTCGCCGCGGCGGCGCGCCCATTTTGGGCATATGCCGCGACCATCGCGCTCCAGGAAGCCACCCCTCGGTCGGGCATCTCATCAAAGATTCTCTGGGCGTCATAAAGATGCCCGTTGTGGGTATATGCCATGAGCATCACTGTCCACGACACGGCATTGCGGTCGGGCATCTCAGCGAAAACCTCCACTGCCTTGGAGAGATGCCCTCCATGGGAATATGCCGCCAGCATGGTGGTCCAGGATATCACGCTCCAAACCGGCATCTTAGCGAGGACATTCCCGGCATCTTCCAATCGTTCCTTCTGGGCAAACACGGCCTCCATAAGACACCAAGATACCTCGTTTTTCTCGGGCATGGTATCGAACGTAGCTTTTGCGCCGTCGATATCCCCGCTGATGGCAAGGGCAGTCATCATGGCCGTCCATGAGACGACGTTGCGGTCGGGCATCATCTCAAACACGGCCCTGGCGTGGTCAAGATGCCCACACTGGGAATATGCGCCAATCATGGCAGTCCACGAGACAACGTTTTGCTGTGGCATCCTGTGGTAGAGATCTCTCGCAGAATCCAGCCGTCCATTCTCCGCCAATCCTGACAGCAGCGCGTTCCACGTCACAGAGTTTTTCTCTCGCATGGTATCAAACAAAAACTTCGCCTCGTCGCAATGCCCGTTCTGGGCATTTGCAGAAATCATCGCGTTCCACGAGATCACGTCTCGGTCGTTAACAGCATCAAATAAAACACGCGCTTCGTCTATCTGACCCTTTTCAGAAAAACCCGTCAGCATTGCCGTACGCGAGACAACGTTATGTTGGGGCATAGAATCAAACACGGCCTTAGCTTTGGATAGATGCCCGGTTTGGGCATATACCGTGACCATGGCCGTCCACGTCACTACCGTACGCTCGGGCATAGAATCAAACATGAACTTGGCATCGGCCAAATGGCCGCTTTGTGAGATAGATTGGAACGCTGATGTCCAGCAAACGACGTTCCACTCCGGCATCTTTTCAAACATGGCCTTTGCAGCTGAATGATACCCATTCTGGGTATATGCCGATAACAAGATTCCCCACGAGAACACGTTCCTGGGCTGGAGATTATCAAAAACACCGCGAGCGTTTTCGAGGTTGCCGGATCGCCCGAGCTGCTGGATGACAAGATTGGAAGAGTAGGTGTTGGAAGAATCAACAGGGAGCTGCTTGATCGATCTCGATCTTGAACTTTGAATCGATCTGACACTAGCTCCGCTTGCAAAACCCATAGATCCCCAAAAGGTCACATTCTAAGTTGTATCATCAGAAACAAATAGTCTCCTTTATGTGGAGAGAAGCCATGTTTCTCCATGGATGAAATCTGTGTCTAGGAATGGTTGTGCCTCCTCGAAAGTGAGGGTTCTTGCCCATGCCACTCGCTGGCTCGTCTTTGCTCCAGGCCCGCTACACTCGTACTGCGCGAAGAACACAGTCCTATGGAGCGAGAGATGGAATTTTCAATGCGAAGTTGGAAGAAATGCAAAAATCTACCTGTTTCGTTCTGGGTGATTCCAGTTTTGCCACCCTTGAGGAGCTATGAGCGCGTCCATGTAGGTGTACGAGTAGACCACCCTGGATCGATCTCCCCATGCACGTCCCAGGTAAATTCTTCCGGATCCAGTGATGCTGCAATTCACGAATGAAAATCCCGAGTTCATGTTGCGAATGGTCCTCTTTTGTGCAGTGATCGCGCCTGTTTTGTTGGCGATCGAGTAGAGATGGCAATCCTGCAAAGGTTGTGATCTTTTGATGGAGAGTTTGGTTTTTACGTACTTTGTAGAGGGATCTTCCATAGCCAAAGATGAAATCCACGCTTCCTTGCACGAAACATCGCTTGAAGTAATGCCGGCCCTTGTGATCGTAGAGAGTGTCTTGGCCGCCATGGAAGTTGCAATCGTAGAAGGCCGCCATGTCCGCGCTGATTCGCAATGCCACGGCTTGCTTCCCGGTCTCACCATGGATGTGAGCAATTGCTTCATTCTAGTAATGATTTCTTTGAGATTATTTTGCGAGAACTTCTCAAAGATGTTTAGCTAGAGCAAACCTGGAATGTGATGTTCTTGGCGATGAAGAACCTCGAGTTGATGGAAATGGTGGCGCTGTTATATGTCTTGAGTAGATTCGTGCCATTTCTATCCGAAGCTGTGGAGTTCCAAGTGATTATCGTGAGTGAGCTCCCATCTCCTTGGAGTGTTACAAACGGTTTGGATTTTGGAATGGCAATCTTTTCCCTGGCTCAAGGTGAGAACCTTTTCGATCCAACAGAGAGACTAGATTTCTTTTTCATTTTACCTGTAGACTCCCGCTTTGATCCACACGATCACTCTTTGCTGGTTTTGTTCCGGAATGGAGTCGATTGCCTCGGCAATGGAGCTAAAATTCCCCAATCCATCTCTTGCCACCACAATCACGCTCTGGTTTCTCTCCGCTTCCACTAAGCTCTCGATCAAATGATGATGAACACGCATCCCATCTGACCTCGTCGATTTTCTGCCATTGCGATAGATCCATGCCTTGAATTCGCGCTGCTCGTCCTCACTGGAAACAATCGCAAGAATCATCCACAGCGCGATCAAGAGCAGCAACAGAGTTTTCATCCTCCAATTCCAGCGCTCTAATTCTGGTTCCGGACGACGCGATCATGCACGAAGAATTTGTCCCAGCGACCAAGAAATTCATGGAAAGAGCGAAAGGAAAGTGTTCTTGCCTCATATTAAAGTGATGATCACGAGCTCCGCTGTGTGTGTGATCGGTTGACTCGAGCTTTATGAGAGTTACCATAACGGTAAAAGAAACAATTGTTTTTACCCTTTTTTCCAGCCAGAAGAGAGGAGTTCGATTCCCGCCAAGGACATATATAGTTAGTTAGTTTCGAACCCGGGCGTTATTTGCCGCCCTAGAACGCTGCTTGTTTAGGGCAAGAAGGAAGGCTTGGTTTCTTGGCGCGATGGATCCCAAGGCGCTGCTGGACGAGCTCATGGGCAAGGACCGGGATTTGCCGCTGGGCCAGAAGCGGCAGAGCCGCTTGCGCTTCGATGATGCCCAGGTGTGATTTTTGCTTAGGGTTTGGATTTCGGGGCGAATGGATGAGAAATTTTGGCGCATTCTTCTTTTTCTTGCAGGTCTGCCACTATCATCTGGTTTCTTTCTGCCCGCACGATCTTTTTCCCAATACCAAGAGTGATTTGGGGCCGTGCGGGAAGGTTCACGACGATGCGCTGCGCGAGCCATTTCGGAAATCGAACAAAGTGGCTCAGTACGAGATGGAGTTCTTGAGGTATCTCGAGCGCCTGATCTCCGATCTCGAAAGGTTTGTCTTTTCTTTTCATTGTTTTGAAGGAAGTGTTGAAAATTGTTGCCTGGCGCTACAGGAAGATACGAAGATGTTATGAGAGGTTGGAGAAGGAAGTTCCCGTTATGGAACAGAACAAAGGTGGAACAGAGAAAATCAGTGCAATTTCGTTGGAAGTCCAGGCTCTTCTCAAAAGGGCCGAGAAAGAGGGAGAAGAGGGTATGGTCGATCAGGCGCAAGCTACCATGGAAAAGGTAAAAGAAAGTTCTTTCCTTCGTGGAATGCAGCTCCCTGCTGTTTGAGGTCTGATAGGCTCTTTCTCCTGATTGTGCTAATTAAGGTCCCGTAATCTGCATGCCAGGGTAGTTCCTCTTCATTTGTAGAGGAAGTCTAAAACTTCTAAGCCCGTAGAAGGTATTGATGTGGGTTTTCTATTGACCCGAGATTGCTGATCTTGATCTTTCTGACACCAGGCATGATTTTTTAGCTACAGCAGCTAACTGATTGCTTGAGGTACCTATGTTGTGACCATTAAGCTTGTAGTTTGTTTCAGGCGATCTTGTCCCTCATTGAACCCTCTGGTCTGTTTATTGTCGTTTGTAGCTAGCCGTATGACTTCGCCTCTGGTATTGTATCTGAATTTTTCTTGCTCCTCGCAGGTTGAAATATTGAATAGGGAGAAGGAGTTGATTATGCGTGCAATTATGCCAGAGTACGGAACTATTTTAGAGAAAGAAAAAAGAATGCAAGTATGTGAAATATGTGGTGCAATGCAGGCCTCAACAGACACTGAAAAGAGACTTGCAAGCCATTTGGAGGGCAGGCAGCATGTGGTAACTGATTTTTCTTTGTTTTCCTCCCCGCAATTTTTGTGATTGCTAGAACGTTCGGCTAATATCGTCACTCGTTCTTGTTCGCAGGGGTATCTGAAAATAAGAAACACTCTGGAGGAGTTAAGGAGAAAACGTGACGAAGAGCTCGAGGCCAAAAAGAAAGAAAGGATGCAAGAGAGCTCTGTCGAAGAGAAGCTGGACTTGAAAGACTCTCCCACTCAAAAGGTAAAAGTTCCATTGGTGAATATCTTTCTCCCCTCTGACTCCGTGTATGCTGCATTTCACCTGCAGAATGGTGCATACCAGGGTGGCAAAGGCAACGAGTGGAGGTAACTATTTACTGTTTTCCACCTTGTTGTCGAAAATGCGCTGACAGAGATGGTCTGTCGTGTTTTCAGGTCTGATAAGTACAAGAGACAGAACAGTGACCGAAGGCACCACGGGGGATTTAACAGGAACAGGGGTCACCACGGCGACCGGGAGAGGAACAGGGACGGTGACAGGCACCGCAGTAGAGAGTGGAGGAGTGAATCGAGGAAGAGGAGCAAGAGCAGGAGTAGAGAGCGCAGCAGGGAACGCAGTTAGCTGGTGATTGATCATCAGCACCAACAAGAAGAAGTCGAAGAACCAAGAACCCGATGGAAGCGTTTGTGTGCGAAGTGTATGAGCTCCCAGAGGAAAGAAAGGTTTTGCTGCAAAGCAAGCACAGCCTCGAGGATGCCAGAGAGAAGATTTCCCTTTTGCAAGTTTTAGTTTGGCTGCTACTTACTGTGGATGGTTTCGGGGCTATAGCTAGATTATACTTTGGGGGAAGCCGGGTGACAAAATAAAAGAGCTATCTTCCTTGGAGCCAGGCTTTGGATCCAGCTATGTCCCACCCAGATAAAGAGGTTTTGTCACCACTTTCTTCAAAGGTTTCTCTTCCATCACTTATAACACACGAGGAAAAAGGTGCTGCTTCGTTTTCTTGTTTGCTGTCTTGTCCCAGCATGGGCGTTTGCTTTTTGTTTGTCTCGCATTTGCATCATGGAGTGGAGACAAAACAACTGGGTGATTGATCGATTGCTAGTGTTCGCCTCTTCGACTATCTGGAACCAACATTCTTAGATTTTTCACTTGAAGATCGCTGCCCAATTGTTTAGAGGAGGAAAAGGAAATAAAAAACTTTGGCCTGCTCTGCATGGCCAACAACGTTGTTCCCCAAGCAAAGCCCACCTGAAAAGAAAGCGCGCTCCTCTTACAGCACATAGGATAATGTCTGGCTGGTGGCAACACCAAAAAAATGGGATCGGTCAAAAAGATAATGGGATCGGTCAAATCGGACCCGAAATAATATCGCAAAGTTGACAAGAGAACCAAAGATAAGATCACTCCGGTCCATGCTTTTTCAGCTTCCTCTCACGAAGTGATAGAAAGGATTGGAGCGATCAAACTTCGAATCAAATCCACGGAAAAGAGACAAGATTCGCCCTTGAACCGCTAGCTACGATTGTCACTCAAAAGTGGCACAGCCCGTCCCAGGCATCGCATTCGCATTGCAATGCAAGCAAGTAACATCGAAAAGTGACCCCAAAATCTTCATAAATGAACCCAGTTGACTTTGGCAGCCACGTCCGTACGAAAGGGAGGGCTGCGTTACGTGGGGTGACGACGGGGGTGGCGCGGAGAGATGGATTCTGTTTCGGAATCGCCGACGGATTCGGAATGCGTGCATGGCTGTGATCTCGTCCTGGCACATGGCCTGTCTCAGGCCTCGGAATCTGGGGCATTTGTTTTCATGCAGCTGTGGAACACAAGGCCGAAGATCTCTGTGCACACACGCCTTGGGATCACACCGTCTTTTCCCTCTTTTCAAACTCTGAGCCCATGCAACCATGGTTCTTGTTGGAATATTTGCTTGAGCTTGCCGCTTTTAAAAACGAGATCATGATCCATCGGACCATGCTCCAAACGGGAAAACTTGCATGGATCAATCGATGTTTTCACGGAGCTCGTTCACCCCAACAACGATATGCATACATTACCAAAGCTAAAAGCAGATCTTGACGTTCATAGGTTGTCAGTATAGCACATAGCATCCTTTGCGTGGAGGTGGTGGCATTATATAATCCCGCACATGAAATATCGTCAGGCAAGGCAACAGCGTTAGAACTGTACTTGGAGAGATCCTCTTTGCAGTAATTACAAGTGTCACGGAGAAGTGGAGTTTCTTGCTTCTGCTAGATTCCTGGCCGCAAAATGTGTGCGTTTACAAACCTGATTGAGAGCTTTGGGGATGGAGAGGAGGTGACGATCATGATAACTTAAGCAGTTCTTTGTGTTCCATCCAATCCTCGGCTGCTGCAACAAAAGCTCATCATAGTGAGCTATATTGGCATCCAAGAAAGAACAAAAAACATACTCCACTCTATTCAAACAAAAGAGAGCCCAGCAGCAGCAGCACTGCAACTAAGTACTGTCGCTCCTATAGAATTGAAGGCAACGATAGCTCTCTTGAAGCTATACCACTTTTGATAGCTCAGTTGCTTGCACCAACATCTGAAAGAGAAAGCTCTCCGGGACACTTTGCCCTAAGAAACAAAGAGCAGATGGACGGCCGGATGAATGCGGCCGGCCCGACAAGGAACAAATGACCACCGAAATGGACAGGAGACTGGAGTAAAGCTGGTAAGATTTCAGGAGGAGGCGGGTATATTTCTACTGTAGAAACTGTAGCTGTCGACGCCGAACTCGATCATACACACTATTTGGAAGCCTCTACATAGGTCCTGACAAGTGCAATTAATTTCTCTTCAGAAAAAAAAGAGAGACTTGAAAAAGAAACTCAAGACTGTGGCAGTCAAGGTAAGTGGAAAGTAAAGGCTCCTTCCCTTCTGTTGGGCATTTGGGCATTTTGGTCTGCGTTGAAAGCTCCCTTAGACCTCTGCGTTAAAGAAAAAAAAGTGGAAGAATTGCCACTGCCGTACACACAAGCGGGGTTAAAAACAAATGCCCAGTCGTGGCACTTTCAGGCGCACGCACACACACGACAGGAGAACTGGCGGAGCAGAGAGACAAGACAGTGAAGAGGCATTTTGCGGGACCCTTGGACATGTGCCGTGCCATTGGCCCTTACACATCCATTGTCCGTCAACTTTAGCTACGAGGTTAAAATAGTTAAAGTTGGCACCTTGTTTGAGATGTTCTCTGAATCTTACCTGGAGATAAGACGTGGATTTTTGTAATAAACAAAATCCCCCGATTCTCAAGCTTGGGACTAGTATATAGTTGTAGCACCTCTTGCTGCTTTGAACACAATAGTCTTGCTCTCTTTGCTCTCTTTGCAGTGTGCCAGTTTGTTTTCTTCGCTGTTGGGTGGTGGTATTTTTTTTGGAGAAGGGGGAGCGAAGAGAAAGAACGAAAAGAAAGTTTTTTCTTTCTTTTAAACAAATGGTAGCTCTGCTGGTTTGATGCTGGCTCTGCCGCTGCTGCTGCTGCTGCTCCTGCTGCTCCTGCTGCTCCAGCCTCTGTTACTTGTTGTAAGGAAGAAGAAAGAAAGCAAGAAGGTAAAGAAAGAGTGTTGAAAAAAGAAAGAGGAGAGTTAGAGGAACTCAGTTTCTTCTAACGAGATTTGTTTTTTCTTTCTGCCAGTGGAACCACGGCTTCAAGGTTGCCTTGATTCATCGATGATCACTCGCTCCAGTTTTTAGAGGGAGGAGAGTTCTTGTTCCTCCCCCCTCACAAGTCAAGTCACTCTATATTCCACTGCTCATCTGATCGGAGCTCATATTTTTTACCTTTTTATTATTACTCGATTCTTCTTCTTATTCTCCCAGCAGCAACCACACACACAAATACTCTTGCTTTGAATGTCCATCTACATTTATTCGGGACGTCCTGTGCGAGGCAGTATAGTTTCCTCTCGTGCTTGCGCGCTCGCATTCCATCCTTTCCAGGGCTTGGTTTTGTTTATCATCTCCAAGACACACTGGTGCCAAGACTAAAGACCATGCTACGTTGATTACGAGGAGTACACAAGCGAGCGCCGAGAAGGGGGCAGCACCAGTCCGGCTGCAGTGGTTTCTTCCCATTCTTTTCTTTTTTTCTTTCCTTGGCCAGCAGCATTGGCAGGAGCTCTCTCGTCATTCATTGTTCTTCCTCGTTTTGGTCTGTCCCTAGAGTAACTCTTTTCTTCTTCTTCTTCCATTCAATCTCTCTCTCGCTCTCGCTCTCGTCTTGGATCGATGTATAAATCTTCCGGGCCTCTGATCACACAGCCAGTAGTACATTGGTGGAGTAAAGACGGTGGGTGTCTCGGCTGGATGGATGAAATCATATAGATTTCTTTTTCTCGCAGTCAAGCAGCACGCCTTTGTCCAAAAGAAGAAGCCTTGGACTTGGAGTGGCCAGTCAAAGCCCGAGTCAAAGCTGCTTCGGGTATCGCGGGATCGATCTCTCTCTCTCTCTCTCTCTCTCTCTGGGCTTGGTGGCGGTAAGAAAGAGCTATACGACCACAGGTGATTCGTTTCCTCGCAAAGCGTCAGCTCAAAAGCACGGATGAAACAGAAAGTCTCGAGCAGTTTTTAACAGATTGGAGAAAAAAGAAAGGAAAAAAACATTGTATAAACCATCTCTCCACAAACAGCACATCCCCAAGATCCAAGCCTAGCCTCCGGGAGGGAATGTAGCTGGAGTTCTTCTTCACCCAAGGGAGTTCTTCAGTTTGAAGGGACGGTAGTGGGATTGATATAATAAGCAGCTATGAAACGATCGTTTTGGAGCTTAGAGCATTGCTGCAGTAGAAGAAGAGGAGGAGCTCGCAGTTTAGTTTACTTGGTACTTGCCATCCTCCTCGCTTCAAGATGCTTGCACTCATCCAGCGCTGGCAGAACTCAAGCGGAGCGACTGAGTACCGGTACGTTATAATACTTTCCTTGGTTTTCTTGCTCTTCGCTTGTGTCGTGTGGCTCTCCAAATCTATGCTGCGAGTGAAAGGAATCCCCACGAAGAAGAGTGAGAGAGTGAGAGGAATTGACTCACGGAAAGAAGCTCGCTTTAAACTTAAAACTTTGATTGGATGAATGAATGCGTGCTCGATCTCGCATGATTTGCTTGCTGCATAGACCTGGATATAGATCGATAGATAGATAGATAGATTTATTACCCCATGGATGGTTTTGCGTGAGCTCCACAAACGTCCTCCTTGCGCTGTCCCTGTCCTCGAACACGACAGCTTCCAAAAATTCTTAAACCCGGCCAGGCCTTTACTAATTATCAAATCTTTCAAATCTGCAGGTGTCCATGAAAGCAAAGACGCAGCTTTATCACTGTCCACAAAACGGCAGCAGCTCGATCAGGTACTGCAAAAAATTTCTCTCCTTTTCTCCCATCTGTAGTCTTAGAAATGATACTTATGCAAATGATCATTTCTATCAGATGGGCGATGATCAACAAAGTGTGGATCAACAAAGCTGGGTAGCCGATTACTCGCCCTTGCAATTGGAGGAGCTTCGATCCAGCAGCAGCCTGGTGAGGAGGAGCTTGAGCGGGCCTGGATCGTCGCCACCCCAATGCACGTCAAAGTGTGGGAGATGCTATCCTTGCAGGCCTGTTCATGTTCCAATCCAGCCGGGTCTCGTCAAGACCGCCGAGTACTACCCCGAGGCTTGGCGGTGCAAGTGTGGCAACAAGTTGTTCATGCCATGATCAGTAACATCATCGCCAGGTGATCATACACTTCTAAGTTATCCTCGCTCTCCTTTCTCCCCTCTCACACGTTTTTGGTCTTGAGATCACTCTGAGCATCGAGAGTTTTAGCACTTGGTTGTCGTGAAACCGTGCTTTTTTTTTTTCTTTTTCTTCGAGCTAGCTAGTTCCAGCAATATATAAGAAAGCGAAGAGATTGTATTAGAAAAGAGTTACATCAGTGAGGAACAAGCACCACCGCCACAAAATCCAGCAAGAGATTTGAATAACTTGACCAACTTGTTGATACATTAGACTTACCTAAAATAAGAACATGACTTGGACAACGAATCCTTCAAAGTCAACCATAGTCGACGAAAGATAAGACCATGGAATGTGTACCCTAGATGAGCAGAATGGCGCCGCCTCATGTTTTAGCGTTTCCATTTCCTGCCCAAGGTCACATTAATCCGATGATACTACTGTGCCGCAAGCTCGCTTCAATGGGATTCATCATAACCTTCATCAACACTCGCAGCCGCCACGAGCAGGAGTTCAAGAAATCCACTGCCGTGGGGGATGATTCTTTCAGGTATGAGCCCAAGTTTCCTTAGCGAGGAGACTTATAGCTCGCCTACAGGTTTGTGAGCATTCCAGACGATTGTCTCCCAAAGCATCGGCTGGGGAACAACCTCCAGATGTTTCTCAATTCCATGGAGGGGATGAAACAGGATCTGGAGCAATTGGTGATGGGCATGGCTAGCGATCCCCGTCGCCCTCCAGTGACATGCGTACTCTTTGATGCGTTTATTGGGTGGAGCCAGGAATTCTGTCACAACCTTGGAATCGCTCGGGCACTACTGTGGACGTCGTCCGCTGCCTGTCTTCTCCTTTGCTTCCACTTGCCTTTGCTCAAGCACATCTTACCAGCAAAAGGTCCTCCTCTAAGCTACTTTTTGCCTTTTTCTCTTTTTTCATTTTTACGTTCTTATTGTAGGGAGGAAAGATATAATAGATTTCATGCCTGGGCTTCCTTCTTTTTGCGCAAGTCACCTCCCGAGCACACTCCAGCACGAGGACGAGTGTGATCCAGGCTTTGAACTCCGAATCCAACGCTTTGAAAGGATGAAAGATGACGTTTGGGTGTTTGTGAATTCCTTCCAGGAGATGGAAGCAGCACCCTTGGATGCTGCCCGAGACGTGAATCCAAATTGTATTGCGGTTGGGCCCTTGCACTTTGACGACACGGGGGAGGAAACACAATTGAGCATGTCTCCATGGATCGAAGACACGAGCTGTTTGGAGTGGCTGGACAAACAAGCACCAAGCTCGGTGGTCTACGTTTCCTTTGGAAGCGTCGCAACCATCTCTTACAGTGACGCTCAGCAGGTTTACGAGGGACTTGCCAACAGCGGCCACGCATTCTTGTGGGTGATCAGGCTCGATCTTCTCCAAGGCAGTGACGAGCAGGCAAGGAACGATTTCTCGGCCAGGATACAGCAGAACGAGAAGGGGCTGATAATCTCTTGGGCTCCTCAAGTCAAGGTATGATCTAGATATTCGCTCCATGGGTTGATAGTTTTTCGCACAATCAATCGTAGGTGCTGGAGCATGAATCCGTGGGTGCTCTCCTCTCGCATTGCGGGTGGAACTCGACGCTCGAGTCCTTGTTATGCTTGCCTTGTTTTGCCGAGCAAGTTTTCAACACAGCCTGGGTTGTTGACACTCTCAAAGTTGGAGTTCGCATCAAGGAGGTCATGGAGGCTGGTATCCATGCAAGCCATGTCGAGGATATGGTGAGGTTTGTCATGGGACGAGACCATTGCAGCGGCGACGAGCTGAGACGTAGAGCCAAAGAGTTGCGCCATGCAGCCAAACGAAACGTCCAGCCAAATGGTTCTTCGCATGCAAACCTCGTCAACTTTGCTAAAGCGTTGAAACTCCACTGTGACCTATAATGCATGGGATGACCTCACCACCTACCAACGTGGTTGGTTTTGTTTCTTACTTGGGCACATGGTCTTAGACTTCACTTTGGAGGATTCCATCCAAGTTAGAACAAAGGACTTTGGACGTCCTTGATATGAATGCATTGCAACGACGCTCACAGGATTTATAAGCTTGGGACATTCTTCTCGCAAGTTAGAATGCTGGGCGGAGTGGAATCGATAGCTACACTCAAAACTCTGCCAAGCAAGTGGCTAGATCTGGGATGTGCATCTGGCTACAACACAATCCGTGCAGTGGGGCTTGTTGCCGAGGCAATTCGAGCATGCTCAGCAATGGAGCCGGAGATCCAAGCCTTCTTCTCGGACTTGAGCTCCAATGACTTCAACACGCTGTTCCAGCAGCTAGAACAGTCATCGCCATCGCTGCGATGCTTCACTGCCGCTGTCTCTGGATCCTTTTACGAGCGTTCAAGCTCATTCCTTCGATCTAAATCTTCCTTCAATGGGCATTTGTCTTCTCTCTAGACTCCAGAGAGTGATCTGTGTGGTCCATTCAACGAACCCAAGCACATGGAGGATCTTTGCGGGTTCTTAACCTGCCGAGCACAAGAGATTGTTCCTGGAGGAATCCTCTGCTTGTTCTCACGGATGCACCAGCCCGAGTTCACGTCCTTCGAGAACTGGCATGTTTCACGGTTGGAGCTGGCATGGAACGATATGCTCCAAGAGGTACGCATGCATATAGTTTCTGGAACCATGACAAACTTGTTCCACGGCAGGAACTGATTGATCACGAAACTCATGCTACGTTCTGCATGGCTTGGTTTTCCAGGACTGTGGTAAAAGGAAATGTGGAGACCGGGGAATCATTCGCGATCCTCACACTTGAGCAGGGCAAGTGTTCAGTGCCATCAATTTCCAACGGTCTAAGCCTCCAAAGCTATGTTGCTGCTGAAGTTTCCTTCTGCAAGAACATTACCCACGAATCCATCTCCCGGCATCTCAGAAACAATGGCGACCTGGTAAACGATTTTTACAACTCTATGTAACATTCATTCCACCTCACGTAAATCTTTCTATGCCATTCGTGATCCTCCAGCGAAAGTGATGGCTTCAAGCACAAACTAATGGAATATATGATGAACGTAAATAACGTTCCCACCCCACCTTAGAATTATAATGTTCTTTCTTTGGTTTTCTAGAGTGCTTGTTCTTCAATTGTGTGGTGGCTAGGGATCCCCACGAAGAAGGGAGAGAAATTCATCAAGTTGACTCACCGAAGAAGCCCACTTTAACTCCATTAAAACTTAAAAACCTTCTTGGCTCGGGCACTGTAAGCTTGAACACCTCTTCATTGTCAGACGGCCTGGTCCCTATGGCGCACATCGCTCAGCACGGCCACGAGCATCTCATAATATACTAGTGTAAAAGGGTTAGTATTACATTACATTATGTGTGAATACCGGACAGATACAAAAATTCCCAACTGCAATCTCCTGTTGGTCTTGATCCCCTACAGGATTTCAACTATCGTCTAGGCGAAAGAGTCTGTTACAAGTGGCAGTGGCAGCATTGGGATCTAATGCCTTGGGGTTTTGACATTGGGCTTTTGTTGTGTAGAATGTTTGTGAGGTATGTCATTTTTTTCTAGAGGATTCAGATCTCCATTTTTTTTTCCTTTTAAAACAGACGTCCAGATCGTGTGATGATCCCTGTGGTGTCAAGCACCACCTAGGGAGAGAAAGAAATGAGTTAGTGTGCACAAGAAGAGTGTTTTGAGGAGTTAATGCTGCTTGGGAGGCCAAGAATCGGCATCTGCTGCAGTGGGAGGCATGCCCACAGCACTAGGAGCTGGGCTGCATCATTCCAAGCTGGAGATCGGGCCATATTGGAGAGGGCAGCTAGAGGTAGGAAGTCGATGACATTTCCGCTGCTGCCACGTGGATGAGTCCTAGCTTTGACTTTTTGCCCGACCCTAGGAGGCACAAGCACTTTGGATGCCGCTTCCATAGCCATCAAAGATGCTAAGTACAGAAACACTGTGTTTCCATGACCGATTGCAAGATTTACTAAGATTCCTCTCCAACTCAACTATAGGATGGAAGGACTCTAAAAACATTGCATAGACTCAAACAATCTCAGGAACATTATGTAGCTATAGCCAATTATGAGCCACACAAAGATTCTTCACTTCTCTCTGGAAGGAAACCTTCTTTATGAAATCTAAGAGCCAATGCTTGCAATTGTCCAAGGGGTGAGGTCTAACTGCCTTTAGACTTTGAACTCTTGCCTTTTATACTCTCAAGCATGAGATTCCTCTATGCTACTTGAAGATGCTTTATTCCTACTAGTCCTATGTAGTTTTGCTATACACTTGGATCTCACTGTTAAATGAAATAAGTATCATGCTCCAAATGAAAATTTTGAGGTAGGATGCTTTGGAGGTTGTAACACCTTCATCAACCTAAATAAGTTATAGTGTTAATCAAAACACACTTTAATCTGTGCATTCACATCTGGTGAACATGAGTAGATATTTTAAATGCATCTTTAAAGCTTATAGCCCATCCTTATGAAAAATTGTTTTGATCCCATAACCACAATTTAATTATAACTTATATAAATGTAGATGGTTTTATTTTAAATTTTTTACAACTTCCACTTACCTTGAATAATCTCCTTATTGGGAAAAATATGGTGTTGGGAAGCTCTTCTAATAGACATCCTTTCTGTTGGTAAAAAACTTTAACAATTTTTTCCAAAGGACATTTTGTCTATCAAGAATTGCCTTCTCATCAGAAAAAAACTTTGAAATTTTTTTTTCAGAAAAATCACCACTTTTATCATCAACATTTTTCAATTAGCAAAATAATTATAATCCATTAGGAAAATTACTACTTTGAGAGTCCCAATGGGTGCTAGATAAAATTGTCATAAGGCAAATATTCTCAACAAAGCCCTATCATAAGAAAATCTTCCTAAGAAAAGTTCTATCAAAAGAAAAATCCTCCCCAATAGGAGAAATTATTGCCAGTTCAAGACCTTGTCTCGTGGAACCAAGACTTATTCTTCTTTTTCAGTTTTCTATACCCATTAGGAGAAATTCTTTAGTGGGATAAAAAACAATTCTTATTTTACCATGTTTTTCAAGATTTCAATACATTAAGGAACAACCTTTTGGTATGGCCAATTTGGGTTCTTATGTAATACCACATACCCATGACATATTAATTGGGAACTCTCAACTTATAAATATTATC